GCTCAAGCTAAAGCTACCATCACAACTTTCCCGCTCCGATGCGACACTGTTATGCCGCCTTTGGTTGGGTGTTGCATTTACAGAGGCCTACTCCTTTCGCATTGGTATGGTAGACACTCCTACATGCGACTACTGCGGATCTGAAGAGACCATCGAACGTGTCCTGTGAAGCTGCGCTTGCTACGACACACAGCGATGCCAGCTCCGGATGGTTTTGAATCAACTTGACCCCGGACCATTTTGTGTGCAGAAGATACTAGGATCTTGGGTATCTGCCTCAGTTGCGCAGAAAGCGACTAAAGCACTGCTACTTTACTTAAAGTCAACAAATCTGAGCGACCGCCTGTAGACTGTGTGTGCTCCCCTAGTGTGCTCGTGATTGTGTGTACCTTCTCATCTCTCTGCAACGTCTTTTCTCCCCTTCATCTCTTCCCCAGTGAAGGGTAGCAAACCGGATGTGCGTCTGGTTAACCTCCCTGACTTTCTTTGCATCTTTATCTCTCTCTCTATCTCTCTAGGCAATAAACTTGTTGAGGTATAAATATTGTTATAATCGTGATTTTAATTGTGCACCTGTGTGTAGCAGTAGGTCAGGGGTTGAGGGAGAAGAGGAGAAAAACATCCCTTGAGTTCAGTCAATTCTCGTTCGATCCCCCAGAGTTGGTCTGGGGGGTTTATTGTCCTAAACCCACCATGAGAGCCACCATAGTGGAGGGCTCTGAAAATTTCACCCAACGGCGGTTCTTGAACGTACACTCAAATCTGAGCACACGGCCCTACAGCATCTTTGTCTCCGTCGAAAATGGAGCCGCCGCAGCCGAGATTCATTGCACAGACCTGTGGGTCAGCAGCCGAGTACCTAAGCTACTGGACCATCGTGGTGGGGCCGCCAGATTTAACAGACAACAAACAAACGAACGATAGATACAACCTTGGTTCCTACACAATACCGCTGAGACTCCCGCTATGTGACATCTCAATACACCCATTCGTGGGCGTGACAGAGTCTGGTGCACATTCGGGATACACAACGTCGACGTGCCACGGAGGTACAACCATTCGAACATCAACGCAGTCGCCGCCTAGGTGTTCTTTCAACCCCAGACCCAGTGCACGCACGTTCACATACTCAAACTATCATTGTAATATTATTGACAAATTAGAGGGAAAAATTAATATATGAAAGAGGCGGAGAAACTACTAATGCGAACGGAAAACACACCACCGGTAAATATAAGACGTTCGTCATGCACGACCATATACGTGCATGATAAAGTACGGTATTTGTTGAGAGCTTCGCCACGTTCGACGTAGTGTGCTAAAAGGGGTTTCAAATAAATAGGTAAAGAACTTTCGCGGTTTTTTACAAACTAGGGATTTACTGTTAGGCGGCACATGGCAGGTAGAGAGATATATTTGCTTGTGCCATAAATAAATTGGCTAGTACCAAGCGTTACGTAGGGGCGAAACGTGTATTCGTACTAACAAATAACCTTGTTTACCCCACCATGCTGTAAATATTTACTCTTACGAAACGTGCGAGCTCAGCTACCAATGCAGGGGATTGCTTTAATAAAGAAAAAAGAGCCCTCTGGTGCACTATACTCACTTTATATGTACTTTTGTGAAATCTGACCGAGTGAATCAGTGCCATATTACCCCCGGCCATGAATCATAAATACAAACCTGCGGTGTATAATACAAAGACATTGGAGTGGTTATAATTAATACGCGATTACCGCGCCCCGTAGTCGACAACAGCCGACAGCCAAATAACTATAAGGAAGGACTTAGCCACACTGAAAATTGGGGAACTCTAGGTACCCTTTCACGTTAATTAATTACCTAGCAACATAATCCTGCCAATCGAGTGACTCGGCATACGGAAACTTGGCATGTACCACGTCCTCACAATAATTATGAATTTGAAACATTGAAATAGTCTCTACCAAGTGTTATGTATAAATGGAAGTTAACTAATGATAATCTGCGTACTTTCTCTAAGACTGATGTGGCATATTGGGTGTTCTGATTGTGTTTTTCTTGAATGCTGTGTGATTGGTGTTATGGTTACTTTGTTTCATACATTGCTTTGTTATGAATAGTCTTGTATGCATTTCAGAGTTGCTTTTTTATTATTTGCTCTCATAAGCCATACGCGCGTTTCTTTCAGTATTGTCGCTTTCGGTTGTCTAACATTTTTGTAACTTCGTAACTTAGATTTTTTTCTCTGGGTAAATGGTCTAGCCAAGTTGTCACATGCAGCTTTTTTCTGTTCACATCAAACGACGTGTACATTGTTTCATCATGAAGGTAAATAAATAAAATCAGCTCAACTCACCTTACGAACAAACGTAGAAGTTTAATCCCGTACTATCCAAAATCATACAACAATGGCGTCTGAGGCACTAGTCGACAGTTATCCCAAATTAGGCAACAGGTAACCACTACCAGCCAGTATATTTAGGTGGTAGTGTAACCAGTTTACGCTAGAGGACAGAGAAGACACTTTAACCCATGTTATTTGGTGCTAGCCAATATTTCTGCGTGTTGTTAAGGGCAAACCAATGATGTATTGGATGTACACCCCATTTTACGGCATTATGTGAGGGAAAAAACATGGCTACTTCATGCTGTATGCATCTTAGTTTCTTTTTTTATCCATTTTCTGACTCATGAGATTATATTTTGCACTCTTGCATGCATTGAACATTTTGGAATGTTTTTAGATGCGGAAGCATCTTATACACTCGCCTTGTAGTGCGCCGTCCGCGCCGTCCGCGCCGTCCGCACCGCTTCTCGAACATTCGACAGCTGACGCGCGCGCATGCGCCGTCGCGCCGTCGCCCACCATCTGTGCCGCGCGCGCTTCTCCTTCGAGAACATTCGACAGCTGACAGCGCATGCGCCGTCGCGCCGTCGCCATCTGTGCCGCGCGCGCGCTTCTCTTTCGAGAACATTCAACAGCTGACAGTGCATGCGCCGTAGCGCTGTATATATACTCAAGGTCGGCGCTCGCTCGCTCAGTTGCCGCTCGTCGGTTGGTTTGTACGGCGCGTCGACGTCCAAGGTCGCGGTGAAATGAATTCCAACGAATCCACAAACACAATGATCGACGTCCCTTCGACCAGCGCCGTCCTTTCGCATACGTGTGTACGTGTTCACTCATTTAACACCCCCTCCTACAACCACGTTAACCAATTTAGCCATCGACCCAAGTAAGTCGCAATTTAACACCCCATTTCACAACCACGTTAACCAATTTAGCCATCGACCCAAGTAAGTCGCACTTTAACACCCCGTTAACCAATTATATGCTCCGCATCCTCCTCAGTGTTCCCCCGAGGGAAGCTGCGGGCAATTTTTAACTCGTACACGTTCATCAGCTGAAATTTACTTGACAGTTGTCGGAGTCATAACCTGTGGGTCGTTAAAAGATTGCGAGTAGGATCAATCCGCTTGGTTATTTGGCATCAAACTGTATTATTTCGAACATACTGTATCGAGTGCATGTTTGAAATAAAGAGAGCACATTCTTCATTCACATATCGCGACAGGCATTAGCTGTGTCATTTTCTTTCATTCCAGTCAGCATGGCTTCCAGAAGGGCCTTTTCTGTCACACTCCACTGCTATTTGTTCACTAACGACACCAGTTGCATCCTTGATACTGAGAGCCCCGTTGACGCACTGTTTTGACCTTGAAAAAAGCTTTTGGTAAAATGCCCCACAACCGCTTATTCCTAAAACTGTCGCGCCTAAACTTTCATCATCTCATTTTTCAATTATTACGTGACTTTCTCTCCAACCGCAAACAATTCGTATACGTCCACGAACACTCCTTTTTTCTTGCTCCAGTTATATCCAGGGTTCCTCAAAGCACAGTCTTTTTGTGCCTCCTCTACCTCATTTACATTGTTGCTCTTCCACTCAAGATTTCTTCTGGAATTCTATTGTTTCCTGACGATTGTTGTTGCGTGCTATACTGCGTAATTAACAATAATAATAATGTTTTATGCTTATAATCTCACCTCACGGAAATTGAAGATTGGTGTCAGAGCTGGCTAACGTAAATAAACACATCCAAAACCTGTATTCTCACTTTTCATCGATATAAGTAATACCCTGCTCGTGATAAGATTACATGTTACCCTTCAATGTGTTCTGGCAACACTACAGATATTTAGGAAATAGTCTCAATAGTAACTAACATGGCACTACCACATAACCAGTATAGCAATTCTGCTAGTTGTGTTCTTTCTCTCTTGCGTCGTATTAACTGATTAGCACCCCCATAGTCTAACTTCCAATCTACTGGTCTTTCGTCAGGCCAAAAGTTGAATACGCGTGTGCCCTGTGGTACCCATACCACCATAACAACATCACCATGCTTGAGTCATTACAGAGCCGTGCTGTGCGTTTTAGATTTTTCAGACTATTTCCTTAACTCTAGTTCCTCAAAACTCAAATCCAAAGCAAACCTTCTCAGTTTTTATCTCGCCGTCGAGTCACCCACCTTTCTCTCTTTCACCAGTCATTTTTCAACCTGACATCAAAGAACTGAAATGGCTTTTTCCCAAATGCCGCGCTTCAATCCGACCCAACCATGATCAAACCTTTCATAGAAGAACTGTTGTGGTATATATGCCCGCCCCTCATGTAAAAACCCCTTCCTTTAGGGGGCTTTGCGGTATAATAAAGAAAAAAAATATTATTCACCAATTTTTTCACTTCTCAGCTTATCTGCTGTGCCATAACAGCTCATCACACGAGGTTCATAGTTTAACACAGCCAACAAACTTTGTAAGCTCTACTTTGCCTTTCTAAACTCGCCATAACTCCCCTGTAAGGCACCCGGAAGTCTCCCGTTCTGACCTTGATATTTATAAGTTTAGAAATGGTGTTACAGTGATAGACTTTTAGGGCATTTGTGAACTCTATTCACCACTAAGAAAAGGCTTGCAAATGTTTATAATTTTATTTCTTTCGTTTTTCAGACACCTTCAAAAGAACGGAAAACTTACTTTTTATGTCATTTGACCAATCCTGCGGCGTTTTCAAGGTCCAGTCACTATTAGAATGTACGTGCTTTCAATTCATTCTCACGCTCTAAAAAGATCTCATAAGTCGCTGTTCTAAATTACAACTTCAGAAGAAAATACAAGCTCCACCTATAGCCAACACTGCCTCACCGGGAAAGGTTTTGCATAAGCGTGCCATCCAATTATTTTCGCTCAATTCAATGACATGAATACCCTTTCGCGTATTTAGGATAGTTCGTGCTCCCATGTGGATGTCCCTCGTTCATGTTGCCAGTATTTCAAAAATTGAAAGTCTTAGTTAATATCATCAGGTAATATAACATCAATTTAAAATGAAAACACACAATTTATATAGAAATGAGTGTAATATTTATTATAGGAGTGCACGCACCTTACCAAAGAACAAGTACGTACAGTTATAATACACAGAGGCTTGCGCAAACCTGTTACCTAAGTGGCTGAAAAGCGTTCCGCAGTATTATGCCCCGAGCTTGTAGTTATCATAACGTTGCATCTGAATGTGACAAAGTATGCCTTCGGGAACGCTTGTTCACATAGTATGTTCCCGGAGTGGAGAAGCTGTCTTTCAGAATCATAGAAGTACAGATAGGTGTTTAAAACATAGCCTCCTGAGTTCCTGTGTTTGGGTTCACTGTGACAACACGCCTTACAGTCTTATGATTTGGAAAACTTTCACTAGGACTGATCAGCATCACGTCTTTGGATAAGTACTGCCTCATTGCTTATTGGTCAAAATTTCCGAAGCCCTCCACCTCGGCATCTCTCATAATCAAATAGTGGTTTTGGAACGTTAAACCCCACAAATCAATTATCATTGCTTATGTTCTTCTCGTGTGTCAGTGCTGCCGACTATGAACGCCTAGCTCCCGTACGAAGACTTTTAGACCAATTCTCAAGTTTTTTTTCTCCGTGCTGCTTGCGAAAGTTCAAAGCAGCTGTACCCTTTGCTTTGTTGTCATTTCTTTTGTGCTCCGGTCAATGCTAACAAATATCAAGCTATTTTACAGGTAATCTTGATCCACATTATATGCTTTAAGTGCATAATTGAAAAAGATATCCCAGATGGTCAGAGCATTGCCTGACCTAATCATTTAGAAGTGTTCACTGAGTGCGACACGAACATATACAACATGCTCCAGTTACCTAGAGTAGCTAACACAAAATACCTCTTCACAAAAGCACACCTTTCGAATGATGCTGTGATACACCCGTGCAGGAACGACGTGATTATGGAGTAATTGCAGTACTCCAAAGCACACGAATGAAAGTCCGCTTTGGCAATCAGTGTGATAACTGTCGCGTCCTTCAGCTCATCAGATATTTGCTCATCTGTATCACCAGTGAAAGAAGAGAAAGAATAGTGGTATTGCTGCTCGCGCTCGCTTCATTTGACAGCTGGTCGTCATAATAAAAGTACGGCGTCGTGTTGAAATTCGCTGTGTTCGCAACTCATCGTAGTTTTGGCAGTGCTGAATAACTTCCGCAACTGTTCGCGGGTCTTTTGCCGCCAGCATGTGGAAGGCATCATCTTCGATGCCCTTCAGAATGTGTTTGACCTTGGCTGTTTCAGACATGTCGGGATTGTAGCGACCGCAGAGGCCCACAACGTCCTCGATGTAGAACGTGAAACCCTCTCCAGACAGCTGGGTGCGATCTGGCAAGCGCTGGTCTGCGCGGAGCTTGCGCACTGTTCGGCCAAGCACGACCACGAAAGTGATCATCTTGAAAGTGGCCCAGTCGGTAAACTCAGCTTCTAGGTTCAATATATATATTTATATATATGAAGGATGGTTGGTAGAGGCCGACAAGTAAGAAGTGCTTCATAGAAAAAACATGGCGTATGACAGTCATCATAGCGTCCCACGAGTCGACAGGATGAAGACCTGGCCGCCGCTCATCAGCCTCACATCATTCATGAAGCCACCGCCAATACGTGTGAACTGAATATTGTCACGGGGTCGTGACGTGGCCAAAGACAGGAAACTTCGTGTTGGGATTTAACTGTTTATTTGGGCGAACCTGTGCCCGGTAAAGGGAAAGTCTAATTACAGCAGCAGTCTTGCACAGATAGCAGTCTCGGACTGATAGCGGCGAACGCAGCGTCGGCCTTCGATCAACAACTCACAAGCGGCGAAGCGCGTCGGCATTTAAGCCCAAACTCCATAAGCGCGGAAATGCACGCGACAGCGAAGAGCGACGCTATGAGCGACGAAACAGGGCGTTCGCGCGACGTGTCGCGTGCTCGTTTTCGCGCGATCGCCCGGTTCTCCAGATTTGGAAACCGTCGCTCATCGCCCGGAAGTGCTGGGCTCAAGCAGCCAATAGCGAAAAACCGGAAAAGACGAAGACTACATAGGTGCACGTGATCCTGCCCTAGTCACGTATGCGCAACAAGAAATAACGCAACGTTTATTACGCATGCGCACATAAAAATGCTGCAAGGCAATAATAAACACTTTCCGTTCCATTACACAACAATATATCTTATTGTTTAATTGGAAACCGCTCGCTACGCGGTTTTCTTGGTGCGAGTTGACGGCTTCATGTCAGCAACAGTGGAATTCGCTCGCCGAAGCCGTCGCGTGAATGAGGTTTGCCTGCGCTAGCGACTGATCGCGCGACGCCGATCTACGTCGCGTTGCTCGTCGCTGTCGCGTGCATTTTCGCGCTTATGGAGTTTGGGCTTTATACCCTTGTCGTCGAATGTTCTAGCGTTATCGCTGGCGGTGGCATAGGTTCCAGAACAATCTGTACCGTTCGCACAGTGGGCGTGATCTTATCGAAATGATCTACTACAGTCCGGAACCTTCTCGAAACCTGCAGGCGCGGTTTGCGCCGAGAATCGTGTGGTGTTTCGGAACGATAACAAAAACTTATGAAATGGAACGTGGCATTGCCCCCTCTGAAAAAAAGGCATTGTCCCGATGCTTTAACTAAAGATGAAGGTACAATAATAATGCAAGAAAGTACAATGAATAAATTAGAATACAACAATAATAAAAAAACACTGTTTCAGTTTGTTAACGTGCATGAAAGGCGCGCGACATTGACGACTTCAGGTCGCCATCGGCGTCGTTGAGAGTTCGTGATGCCGTCGGGGACAACCTCGTAATCAAGTGGGCCGAGACGTCGAACCACCTTGTACGGTCCGAAGTACCGTCGGAGAAGCTTTTCACTTAGTCCACGTCGGCGTATCGGCGTCCACACCCAAACACGTTCACCGGGCTGGTATTCCACGAAGCGTCGTCGAAGGTTGTAACGGTGGCTGTCGGTCGTCTGTTGATTCTTGATACGGAGACGCGCAAGTTGTCGGGCTTCTTCGGCTGGTTGAAGGTACTCGCTCCCATCGAGGTTTTCTTCGTCGGTGACATTGGGTAACATGGCATCGAGCGTCGTTGCCGGGCTCTTTCCGTAGACCAATTTGTATGGAGATATCTGCGTCGTCTCCTGCACCGTCGTGTTGTATGCGAAGGTCACATACGGAAGAATGGAGTCCCACGTCTTGTGTTCGACATCGACGTACAATGACAGCGTGTCGGTGATCGTCTTGTTAAGCCGCTCGGTAAGGCCGTTGGTCTGTGGGTAGTACGCTGTCGTCCGGTGGTGGTTTCTTTGGCTGTATGCCAAGATCGCTTGAATTAAGTCGGCAGTGATTGCCGTTCCTCTGTCGGTGATAAGGACCTCCGGGGCGCCGTGACGTAGAACGATATTTTCGACGAAAAACTTAGCTACCTCGGATGCACTGCCTTTTGGCAGGGCTTTTGTCTCGGCGTAGCGGGTGAGGTAGTCGGTAGCTACCACGATCCACTTGTTTCCGAAAGCCAACGTCGGGAACGGCCCCAGTAGGTCCATACCAATCTGCTGGAAAGGTCGGCAAGGTGGGTCAATTGGCTGCAAGGTTCCGCTGGCCTTGTCGACGGTGTCTTGCGTCGCTGACAGTCCCGGCATGTCCTCACATAACGAGTGACGTCGGTGGTAAGACGTGGCCAGTAGTACCTTTCTTGTATCCTCGCGAGCGTGCGGGAAACACCGAGGTGCCCTGCCGTCGGATCATCGTGCAGGGCCTGCAGGAGTTCTGGTCGCAGAGCTGAAGGCACCACAAGGAGGTACTTAGCTCGAAGCGGTGAAAAGTTCTTCTTTTGTAGAAGACCGTTTCGTAGAAAGAATGACGCAAGTGCGTGCTTGAATACCTTCGGGACTTCGGCGGTCCTGCCTTCGAGGTATTCTACTAGGGCTTTAAGTTCCGGGTCGGCCCGCTGTCGTTCAGCGAAGTCGTCGGTAGTTATCGTTCCCAAAAAGTAGTCGTCATCCGAGTCGTCGGGTAGCGGTTGGTCGACACGCGCACGAGAGAGACAGCGTCAGAGTGTTTTTTGCCGGACTTGTAAATGACAGTAATGTCATATTCTTGAAGTCTCAGGCTCCATCGTGCGAGGCGACCTGAAGGGTCCTTCAAGGTGGCTAGCCAACACAAGGCGTGGTGGTCGCTCACAACTTTGAAGGGCCTGCCGTAGAGGTAGGGGCGAAATTTTGACGTAGCCCAGATGATGGCGAGGCACTCCTTTTGTGTTGTGGAATAATTTGCTTCTGCTTTGGATAGCGATCGGGTGGCGTAACTAGTAACCCTTTCAAGTCCGTCAGCCCTCTGCACAAGAACGGTGCCAAGACCTACGCTGCTTGCGTCAGTATGTATTTCTGTCTCGGCGAATTCGTCGAAACGGGCAAGTAACGCAGGCGTCCGGAGGCGATGTTTAAGCTCCTGGAAAGCGTGTTCCTGTGGCGTTTCCCACTTGAACTCCGAGTCGGTCTTGGTAAGGTTAGTGAGAGGATCGGCGATGCGGGCGAAGTTTTTCACGAACCGCCTATAATAGGCCCACAGTCCCAGAAATCGGCGCACGGCCTTCTTGTCAGTGGGCGGCGGGAAGTCGCGAATGGCGGCTGTTTTCCGTGGATCGGGACGAACTCCAGACTTGCTGATAACGTGCCCCAGAAACAAGAGCTCCTCATACGCAAATCTGCAC